AAAGCCGGAAGTGGCGCTGTGGCTCAAGTGGTAGAGCACTAGCCTTGAGCTGAAGAGCTGAGGGACAGTGCCCAGGCCCAGAGTTCAGGCCCCATGACTAGACCTCCCCCACCAAAAAAAAGTGAAAAGATAAGTCATGGAATAGGAGTTAAGATTTATAAGCCATATAGCTGACAAAGGGATTGGTATCCCAAATGTTAAAAAAAAGTCTTACACTCAACAATTAAAGTATAAATTTCCCAACTAAAAAATAACCAAAGGAGCGGGGCACTTGTGGCTCATGTCTGTAATCCTAGTACTCAGGAGGCTGAGATCTGAGTACTGAGTTCAAAGCCAGCCTGTGCAGTAAGGTCCATGAGACTCATCTCCAATTAACCACCAAAAAACCTGAAGTGGAGCTGTAGCTCAAAGTGGTAGCGCACTAGCCTTGAGCAAAAAAACTCAGGGATAGTTCCCAGGCTGTGAGTTCAAGCCTCATGACCAACAAATTAGAAAATGGCCAAAGGCTCTGAAGATAGTCTCCTAAGCAGACATTATATAATGGCCAGTAAGCACATGAAAACCTTTTTTGGGGGGGGATGAGGAATACAGAACCAAAGGCCTTGGGCATGCTAGGCAAGCACTCTACCATTGAGTAATATCCAGAGGCCAAGTGATGATCCATCACCAACTATCAGGGAAATGCAAATAAAAGCCACAATGGCAAATTACTTCACCCATACTAGGATAGCTAAATTAGAAGACAGTAACCGGTGTTGGCAAGGATGTGGCATAATGTTCTTACATTCACTGCTGGTAGGAATATACAGTAGAACTGCACTAGAGAATAGCTTGACAGTTCTTAAAAGTTAGGGCTCCCATAAAATCTAGAAAAACCTTTCCTAAGTATATACCAAAGAAAATTAAAGACATTTACACACACTTACACACACACACACACACACACACACAAACATTCACACAAATGTTCATAGCAGCATTATTCTTAAGAGCCAAAGAAGTGGAAACAAGCTGAGTGCTCGTCAACCAACAAATAAACTGTATTTATTTCACTGCACACAATGAAATAGTACAAGGAAAAGGAATTAAGGTAAAACATCAACTTTTGCTTATAAGAACACTAAAAGAAATGTAGGCTTCCAAGGCAACAAGAGAAGAGGCCCATGGCATAACACCTAACAAGCTAGAGGTAGCTCAGCCATCCAGCTCCTCCTTGATAGTGATGTGAAGGGGGCAGATACGCAGAGGCTCATGGGCCTCATTGCCCTGCGGGGGGCCTATGTAGAAGTAGGGCCGCACTGCTCCGAAGTAAGCATGAAAGGTATACATATGGCATTGGCGCTCAACATCATAGAATGACAGCTCACCATCCTCGCACTCCAGCTCAACACGCAGGCGGTGTGGCATGGGCAGTGGCAGAATTACTGTGCCCTGTTCTGAGGCTATACACATGTCATCCTCCTGACCCCGCATATGATACATGTACCAGAAGCCTGAGCGTGTGTCGTAGAAGCAGTTACGTGTATAACATTCTTCTCCTGCTTCTGACTCCACACGCATCACACCTACACGCCAATTCTGCAGCCCACCCACAGAAACCTCCCAAGCATGGGAACCCTGCGAGAAGACTTGGGAGCCCATCAGGGCTGGTGCTGAGGAAAATCGATCTGGATTCTCCACTTGTCTCCAATAGGGTTGGTTGCTGACACTTGCAAGGTCATCATGCACTGACAACCAGCCAGAGGCAGTGTTTGGATCCAAGGTGATGGGCACTACAGGCAGAAGGAGAAGGGGGACAGTCAGTAAAACAGTCACCCTCCCAGCTCCCAGGCCAGCTGACATCATCAGTATACCACACTGACCAGCACTCTCCCACTTGCTCCAGTGTGTACAGGAGCTGCCTAGGCTGATGGAGTGGACATGGGTTGAACTAGGTTCCTCATGAGGATATGTGAAAGCCTTTAGTATGAGACTGGATTGGGAATAGGGTCTCTGTAATTAGTTAAGCTGAGATTAGACTTTTAATCCACCATGACCATGTCATTGTAAAATGAGGAAGAGACAAAGATACATAAAGGAAAATGCTATGGGACAAAGTATTGCAGCTTAAGCTAGAGACAGCTGGCACTATCAGCGACCACCAGAAACTAAGGAGAGGTGAGGAGGCTCTTCCCTACAGGCCTCAGAGGAAGCATGGCCTTGCTCACAGACTGACAGTGGACTTCTAATTACAGACCAAACATCAGTCATTTTAAGCCACTCAGTTTTTAGTCCTTTGGTTATAGCAGAAAAGCACTGACATTTCTTCCTGTAAAAACAGGACAGAGTGACTAGTATGTACAGAAGTCACCTTGGGAGAGGTGATGCTGGAACAAGGAGGTAGGATTCTGAATACAAAGGAAAGCACTTGTCTTTCTGAAGAGGAGGCAGAGGCATGACCTAAACTCCATCCCCTACTACAAGGGGATGGAGTAGAAGCAGGGCAAGGAAGAAAGCAGAAGCCAAGGAGGAAAGGGCCAGGAGCCTTTTCTAGACTAGAAAGATAACAGATGGAAAATGAGCTGGATCTAGCAGAGGTGAACTCAGCTGGCTCTTTGCTAAAACACTTGCCTGCACCCCCCACTCACCAACTTCAATGAATGAAATCATCTTCTTCCAGGTGCGGTACTGCAGAGATCCCAGGTACTTGCAGACATCAATGAGCATGCCAGGCTGGATGGGCTCCGGCTCCAAAGTGTAGAAGAGCCTGGGAATGGAGGACTGGGCATAGTGGTTGGGGCTGGGACCAGGCATCCCAGACTGAAGTGTGTTAACTGAAAATGTGCAACAAGACTGGGTCCCTTGCTTAAATCCTAAACTTCCTCACGACTTTCCTCAACAAACTGGTCTGGACCAGGAGCCCACTGGCCTGCCACACCCCTTCAGGATTCCGTACTAAGGGTCCTCCCACCCAGCTAAGAAAGATACATGTAGGAAGTTCTCCAACACTGAGACTTCTTCTTGTGGGTAAAAAGCACATGCAACTGCTCAGGAGATGTCTGAGTTGGAGGGACCTTAACAATGCTTTTGCCTACAGAGCCAGGTATCCTGAAGCCTCTGCTTAAGTTCCTCTAGTAACAAAGAACTCATTACCATTTTCAGTACTCTTCCATTTTTGGACATCTTGGACAAGGACCCAATTCTTTCATATTCATCCGAGAGCTCAATGGCCATTAATCTAGTGTCCTGAAGCTCTCAGAGGTAGGAGGCCAATCAAGAAGCTAGTTTAAATGATTAGTGAAAAATACAAGCCACAGGTCTGGTGTTCTTCCCTGAAAGGTGAACAGTGGCTCTTCACTTTCCCTGTGCCAAGCAGAATTGGAAAAAAGAGCTCTTTCATCTGATCTTGCCTGCCTGGTCTTAGAGCCATGGGATTTTAAGCCCCTAATTTCTCTTCCTATTCTTCCCCTTCCCTCACAAGACTTAAAAACTTACCGGCGTTTTCGGGTCTTGTGTTTCTGAAAGAAAAAAAAAAAAACAGAAAAAGTATGTAAGTTTCTGGGCTCAAAAGGATGTTCATCAGAAGACTTGCTAGTGTTAAGATGTCAACATTGCCCAAGTGTATCTACAAATTCAGTGAAATCATTATCAAAATCTCAGGTGCCAGGGCTGAGGGAGAGAGTGCTGGCTTAGCATTTATAAGGCTATAGCACATCAAAACAACATGAGTGATCATTTAACCAATCCCACATGCCTTCTTGGCAGAAACAGAAAAACAAATTTTTAATTGATATAGAAATTCAAAAACAAATAGCACTCACACACGGCTATTTCAAAACTTACTATAAAACATTAGTGATCACAACAATGTGGTATATAAGGATAGACATGAGTCAGTGGAATAGAACTGCAAGTCCAGAAATAGACCCTCACATTTATCCCCAGCTGATTATCTATACCAGGCCAAGGTCAATGAGGGAAAGAACAGTCTTCCCAACAAATTATGTTGATAGAACTAGATACTAACATGGTAAAGAATGGAGTAGGGCCCTAACCTTAAACAAGATTGAAAAAACTCAAAGTATACAAATATATTCAAAATAGATTTAGTAGTAAATATACAGTTAAAAGTGAAAAAGGCCCTATATTTAGAATATTAAAAAAAGTATAAAAAGTAAATATTAAAAAGACAATCCAATTAAAAGTAGGCAACGAATCCAAATAGACATTTTCCCAAGAAAGATCTATAAATACCAATAAGCATGTGAAAAGATGCTCAATATGATCAGCTATCGGGATATGCAAATCATATCATAAGATACTAGTTCACACTCAAAAGGATGGCTATCTAAAGAGAAAAGAAAATTGGCAAGGACATATAAAAATTGGAATCATCATACACTGCTAATGAGGATATGAAATAGTACAGTCTATTTAGAAAATAGTCTAGCAGTTCTTCAAGAAATTTGAAAAAATCATGTGATATGGTAAATCTTAGGGATATACCCAAGAGAAATGAAAAAGATATCCACATAAAACTTGTGTATAAATGCTTATATTCCTATTTTCTATAAAAGCCAAAGAGTAGGAACAATCCAAATGACTATCCATTGAGGAATAAAATGTAATAGATAAGGGAAACTGTCCATAAAAATGAAAGAAGCATTGAAAGATGCCACAAAGTGGAGTTTTAAAAGAAGTCAGTCATTAGTCAGGCAGCAGTGGCTCATGCTTGTAATCCTAGCTACTTAGGAAAGTGAGATCCAGAGAGTCATGGTTTGAAACCAACTCAGGAATAAAAATCCTCAAGGGGCTTTATCTCCAAAATAAACAGCAAGAAGCAGAGCATCAGCTTAGCAAGCAGGACAGACTCAGTTCAAGCCCCAGTACTGCCAAAAAGAAAAAAAAAAGTCAGTCACAAAAGACTATATATATTTCTATGACTGCATTTGTATGAAATTTCTAGAAGAGGCAAATATAGACTTTTTTAAAAAAAAAAGTAGGGTTGTTACAGGATTGGGGAGAAGTGCCGAGGGGTGTGAGGCTTTTTATTAGGGTGATGAAATGTTCTAAAATTGATTGATATGATGGTTGTACAACTCTATACAATACTGAAAACCATTAAATTATACATTTTTAATGGCTGAATGAAGCCAAGCATGGTGATGCATGACTGTAGTCAAACTAGTTAGGAGGAGGAAAATTTAAGCCCAGGAATTTGAGGTCAGCCTGGACAACACAGTGAGACCTCATTTTCTTATAAAATAAATTTTAGGAAATGGGTGAATTGTATAGTATAGTACGAAAATGACATCAAAATATCTGTTTTCTAAAAAATTTGTCACAAATAAAAATCATTTCTGAACACAGGATAATACAATTTCTTAAACAGAATAGGCAATGAGCACAATGCTAAGAAACTCAAATGACTGTAAGAAGGGGTCTCCTACAGAATAGAGACGTTATGGGTCAAGGCTTTGCATAGCACACACAACTCACAAAGATCCTACCCAGGATGGACGACACTGTCTCCAGAGACTTCCCTGACCCTTCCAACTCCACTGTGCAAAGACTCCTTTCTGGAAAGTTCAGCTGTTCTATGGGAGAAGGAGACTGTACCTCAAATCCTGACTGATTTACAAACCAGCTGTCAAGTTCCAGAAACTTCTCTGTAAGGACCAATGACAAAATCACTAAATGGAAGAAAACCTGAATTCAATCTTGTTTTTTTTTGGGGGGGGGTCCGGTCGTGGGGCCTGAACTCTGGACCTGGGCACTGTCCCTCAGCTCTCCAGCTCAAGGCTAGCACTCTACCACTTGAGCCACAGCGCCACTTCCGGCTTTTTTTCTTTTTTGCTTATGTGGTGCTGAGGAATCGAACCCAGGGCCTCTGGCATGCAAGGCAAGTGCTCTACCACTGAGCCACCTTCCCAGCCCTCAATCTTGTTTTTTTGTTTTTGTTTTTTTTAATTTAATTTTATTTTATTTGTGAACATTCTGTACAGAGGGGTTACGATTACATGGGCAGGATAATGCGTACATTTCTTACCAAGCATTGCAGCCACCTCCTTTGGTTTACCCTTCACATCCCTTCCCAGCCTCCCCACTCCCCCCGAATCCCAATCCTTCTCCTTCCCTCCCCTTCCTCCCCCAACCCCCCTCCCGCACCGACATTGTAGAGCTCCTTTTGGACATGACAACTTGTACTTCTCCTCAATCTTGTTTTTTAAAAGAGAGAATGAAATCATTCTTAAGAAGGGAGGAGGACTGAGGACTGGTGATGTAGCTTAGTGGTAGAGTGTTTGCCAAACATATACAAGATCCTAGGTTTGATTTCCAGCACAAGCACACCACACCACACACACACACACACACACACACACACACACACACACACACACACAGGAGAGAACCAACACCTTACTTAAGTAAAAAAAATCAAATCATAACATAGAAAATGAAGACCCCCTAAGAGGCTCCTGGGACTGCTCTAATGGACTTCCTAGTCTCAACCACAACAACATAAGCTCATGGGGGGCCAGTTTCAGAAAGTCACAGGCAGAGTGAGCTGGGTGGAGCTGGTGGTCTGGGGTACCCTGAACCCAGATGTTGAGCCTCTTACCAGGAGAAAGGAAATATCATCTTCCCTCATCTCCACCTTCAGCCGCTTAACCTCTCGGTTCAGTGCCTCCACCTCTCGTGAGAGCTGCTTCACCCTCTCATCTATCAGCAGCTGCTTCTGTCTGCTCTCCTGGGTCATCATGTCCAAGGTGGCCTTTTCTTCTACCCTCAGGAACTCTTGTAGCTTTTCAAACTCCTGGTGAATGCGACCCTCCAGCCAGGTAGTCTCAACCTGCAGCAGAGCAGAGGGCTCAAGGTCAGATGTAGGGAGGGGCCTCATCTGTTCTCCAGCTAGGGACCTTCAGACTTTAAGTGTAGCATTTGTGTTCTATACTTCAGTGTAATCATGGGTTATCATGGGGGGTTAAGATCACCTTAGAAATGGAGAAACAGTTGTGCTGAATATTTTTTAAATGGAATCACTGCTTGTAGCTGACCTTGTCAACCTCAGTCCTATAACCTCCACTACATAAAATCTTCTGAATCTCATTTAGGTTGAACAACAAGGAAAGTCCTGAATCACAGAAATGAATTATTGCAAACTAGCAGAAACTTTTACAAGTGATTTGTCTTCAAATTTGAGGACCTTAGATGTATCTAAGTGAAAAGCTTTAGTAAAGATGAAATATTTCTTTTAAAACGCATTCATTAATAATATTTACACTCCAAATCCTAATATAAAAAGTAGTAAAGAAGGGAGGATAAAAACCACACAAATACTTAGGGAAAAAGCAAAGAAATATTTCTTACCTTGGAATGAGAAAGACCTTCCTTAGCATTACATGAAACTTGGAAGGCTTAAAGGAATGAGATAACTGGATTATGAAAATAATAATTAAGACTTTTATATGGCAAGATTATTAACACAAGTAAGTATATAGACATAATTAGAAGACAACTATTAGAAAAACAATCAAAATGTATGTTTAGCTACAGCAGGTTGTAACCTCATTTTGGTGGTGGTGGGGCCTGAACTCTGGACCTGGGCGCTGCCCCTCAGCTCTTCAGCTCAAGGCTAGCGCTCTACCAGTTGAGCCACAGTGCCACTTCTGGATTTTTCTGCTTATGTGATGCTAAGGAATCTAACCCAGGGCCTCATGCATGCAAGGCAAGCACTCTACCACTGAGCCACATTCCCAGCCTGTGACCTCATTTTGGGATTGAAAAATTCAATAAATATGTATGGTTCTGAAAAGATGACAAAAATAATTTACTGAGAAAATAACAAACTTGAAAAATACTTACAACATATTTGATAGACTACAGCTAGTCTTAATATACAAAGCACTTTTACAAATGAACTAGGAGAAAGATAAATATTTCAAGAACAAAAAGGACATGAACTGACATTTACTGAAGACAATTATATGAAAAGACTTATACTTTGAAATGATACACAAATTTACCAATAATAAAAAAGGTAAGTGAGACAGACAACAGCATTAGGCTAAAAGACTGATAATGTACATAATAGAGAGGATGGAAGATAAATTTTTTCTTTTTTTGTGGGGGGGGGTGTCTGGTCGTGGGACCTGAACTCAGGGGCCTGGGTGCTGTCCCTCAGCTCTTCAGCTCAAGGCTAGCGCTCTACCACTTGAGCCACAGCGCCACTTCCGGCTTTTTTTTTCTGCTTATATGGTGCTGAGGAATAGAACCTAGGGCCTCAGGCATGCAAGGCAAGTGCTCTACCACTGAGCCAACTTCCCAGCCCTGGAAGAAAGAACTGAACAAGGTAGGAAAAATCAGTAGTGTCAAGGCACCTCTAGCCATTATCACTGCTAGCAATAAAGGACATAAACATTGAGATGTATATTCACGGTTTTGTGGGATTTAACAATAAAAGCATCAATCAAACAGAAATTCACTGGACTATGTACAACTCTTGACCTGTACAGAAAGCAAAGAGTCTTCCAATATCTGGGATGATGGACAGACTGATAGATCTCACCTCTAAAATGACTAGTCCAGCCCTGCCCCATGGCAAAGCCACTCAAATTATTTTAGTCATAAAAGAAAGCAAAATAAAGAGCAGAGATGAGGCTAGATGAGTCCACGACAATATGGGAAAAACAACTTGAAAGGTGTCCTCCAGCAATGGCAGTGTGGGTAATTTTCTGACAGTGAGCTCAATCTGTGTTTATGGTTCTGACATATAACAAAATAATTCAATGAAAAAGTAGAAACCACCCTATTTGTAAGGAAATGGAAAGACTTGGAAAAAATCATATTAAGTGAAGTAAGCCAGACCCAAAGCAGTAAAGGTCCCATGGTTTCCCTTATTTGCAATAAATAGTATACGTCTAGGATAATCTTAGCAGATGGGCAGAATAGTTCAATAGCTACATACATATGACCCTATAAGATGATGCTAAGTGAAATGAACACCAAGACATGGACACAAGAGGTTTTTCCTTTGTTGTTGTTTTTTAATAAGCTTTTTATTGTGAAAATACTGTACAGAGGGGTTACAATAACATAAGCAAGGTAATGAGTACATTTCTTATCAAGCATTGTTGTGTTATTGTTTTTAATGTACTGTGTGATTTCTTGTATTTTTTTTGTATTTCTTCCCCCAATGCTATATACACTGTTGTCACTGTATTTGATTTTGATACCCTGTACTGTATATCTATTTATCTAAATTAGGGAAAGGAAGGGGAACAGCAGAATTTTGAGACAAAGGACAAGCAGGGAACCAATGCAATAGCGATATTCACAAGACAGTATGCTGGAAATAATCTGTACAACTTTGGGGATTGGGGAGGAAGTGGGAGAAAAATGAGGGAAGGGGTAACAAGTTTGACAAAAAAAATTATGTACAATATTACCTTACTTATATAACTGTAACCCCTCTGTATATCTGTATATCACCTTGACAATAAAAAAAGTAGAACCCTATGAACTTGTGGGTTTCAAAGACATCAGAAATACTGAGTGACTGCTCTCTGCTGGATACTTTTATGCTTTGCCTTATCTAAAGGAATAAAAAGAATCAGATTCAGGGAGTTTGTTTGGCAGGGTCTGAAAGGCTTGCCTGGAGAACTGGGCTTGGTTGTGAAAGGCTACTGGAGAGTTACTGTCCTAATCTTTCTAGATTATAGCAACATGGTTTATCTGGGCTATTACCTCTTCAGGTGAATGCTCTTAGTAATTATCATTCAGCTGGACATATCCATAGCAGAGCCACACCAGTTTGGGCTGCCTGACACTGCTCTGAAAAACATCCTAGTATGTGTGCCCACTGACAAGGCTTGGGTTCAGGAAAGAGCCTCATTATCAGCTGGTTATGGAACTAAAGCCCACTGCTACGAGCTTTTCTTTAGTCATTTACAATTTGCCCAGAACTTCAAGATAATAGTCTTTATTTGGATGGGAACAGATAAAAAGAAGGGACTAAAAAAGTGATGATAAATAATGAAATGTCTTAAAGAGGATAAAGCAGGGAGACTTGACAGTGAACCACGTTATCAGGAAAAGCTCCGAGAGGGGAATGTGAGCCGAGGTAAGATGCTGAGTGAGAGGTCTGGGGAGACTTGGCCAGATAAGGAACAAAGAGGGCAGGTGGCTGTGGCAGACAGCACCAGGCAGGCAGGGCAGATCACAGCCTTAGTGAACGGCACTTTCAGGGGAATATGCAGTTTTAAGTAGAGTAGTAGACTGGTTGATGTCCAGTACACAGACAGTGGACAGTGGAATGCAGAACAAAAGCAGAATCAGGTGGGATGCATATGAGCGATTTGACAGTGACAGTGATGGACATTATATATTTAAGGAATGAGGGGTCTAACACTGCCATGGAGTAGATATGGTTTGAAAGGAAACAAGGAATCACTAAGGAACACCAAATCATACTGCCTTGAAAACCCAGTAGATGGTAGCATATGACACATGTGCCAATGGCACAGGGGACTTAGGCAATCCTGTGGCTGCTGGCCTTACAAATCCAGGTTATCAAAGGCAGAGTGGCCCAGTTCAGCATCCAAAGGCATGGTGAACAAAACCATCAATGCTGAAGTCAACTCAGAGTCAACAGTTACCCCAGGGGCAATGTTGGCCAAAGTCAGAGCCAACTCTCCCTCTCTTACCTCTACTGGATTGTGGTGTCCGACCACTCCCCACTTAGCCCTGTCGCTCACTCACCTGATTGTGCTTTGCCAGGGCCTCATAGGAACTCCGAGTACTGCTGAAGGTCCTGACTTTCTGCTGCAGTATATGCTCCATGTTCTTACATTTGGCCTGATGAGGGGAATGAGTAGGCAGGGAGGTGAGTTAGGGCTGGAGACCAAGCACATCTACAGCTAGAATCTCAGTTTAACATCTATATTACTAGTTACAGTTGAGCCACGTACTACAGGCACAGCTCAAATCCTGTTTAAATCCTAGTGTTTAAGTCCACATTTGCAGTACAAAGGGTCCTCAGAGGTTTCTAACCAAACCTTCATCTATGCTTGGTGCAGGTGGATAGATGGGGCTGAGGAATTAAAGGGGCCCAATCTCTCTCAAGCTGGTGATAATACAGCAGAGTAAGCTATCCTGTCCAGACCTACAGCTAGTCCAGGGTGGGCCCTGGGGACCCCAGAGCTATGGGAATAGCTATAACCTTTCCAAATTCCCAAACTAGATGGTCTGACAAGGATAGGGAGGTCATCTCCCCAGAGGCTTTACCTACACATGACTGATTATTTGGATAGTGTGAAAGACTTTAGCTGACAAACTCAGACTTTGTTTAATTTAGTCTTATAAATTTTATCTGTCACTTCTGGCCTCCATATAATTCCTAAAGAACCACTCTGAGCCAGGCATGATAGTGTACATCGGTAATCTCAGCACTCAGTAAGATGGAGGCAGGAGAATCAAGAGTTTGAGGCTAACCTGAGCTACAAAGTTAAGACCTTCTTTCAAAAAAGAAAAGAACCACTGAGTTTTAGGTTAAATATCTATCTTTTACATCTGAGGCTTATCACATCCCATACCCAAACTAGAGTTTAGACTCAGGGTCTCACATTTGCTCAGCAGGCACTTATCCTCTACCACTGAGTCATACCTCCATCTAGTGACCTGATAGTTTCTCTCTATATTTTTTCTTCTCCACATTCTGAGAAGGGTTTTCAAGGGTTGTCTTTGGAAAAATAATAAAAATGACAATTCTAATGATACTAATTATAAACAGCCATGAGCATACCATGTAAGATGGTATGTGCTTATTAACAAATTATGACATTTAATCATCACATTCTCATTCTGTGTAAGTACACAGAAATGCAAATATACTGGATCTCATCCAGACCTTATCCTTACCCAACTCAAAACTGACTTCCAGATTCATCATGAAGTGCATGACCTGTCAACAAACAGGTGTCAATCATGGCACCTAAGCTTGCAGTTGAGTTACTCAGAGCCTCAGTGCAGAGCAGAATGAGAATCCCTCCGCCCTGGACACAGTCTCTGACAAGTAGGCAATAACTGTGCTCTGTTGCATCTGAGATCTGTAGGGACTGGCTTGAAAGCTGAGGACAGCAAATGTGTCAGTAATCAGGGCAGGATGAAAGAAGTTACTTGGATGGGGAATGTTTTAGTCCATTTTCTACTGAAGATAGCAGAGTACTACAGACTGCATGTCCTCAGATCCTTAGGTACTAGATCTCTCCAACTCTCAGACATCTTGCATGACCACTGATCTTACATTACCCATTTTCTTCATTAAATCAGTGGAGATAAAGCTACGATTTGTGCCTCCTGGCTTTGACTGCATCTCCACTCCCAGTTTAACTACTCTGAAATTCTCCTGGTGCCTACAAGGGCAAGCTTTCCACCTTCTAGACTTCCATGTGCTGTTGCCTCTGCCCAAAATACTTTTCCTTTGCCTCTTTAACCTGCCTAGCACTTCTGGCGAGGGAACTATTGGCTAGCTCACCTCCTGCCTGAGACCTAGCAGTTCAAGGCATCTGTGCAGATAATGGCAAGATGCCCCTGGACCTGACCTCTTGAATCCTGGCTGGGGGCTAACATGGGGCCTCTGCCTGAGGGTTCTCAGCATTGTCTCCTGCCTATCCTATCTATACCAGCTGCACCAGGACTAATCAGGACTTGATCTTCAGTCCCCCTACTCATTTAGTCCCAAGTCCCCAGCTGCCCAACTCAGCTCTCCAGGCACCTCTGCCAGCTCAAATGGGGAAACACATTGCTGTGGATCCTTGCTAACAAATACAGTTAAGAACCAGGGTTACTTATTCAAATATGTATATTGATGTCATCTTTCCATCACCTTTCATTGGAACTGTGTCAACATGTGTATGTAGCTGTAATGTTTTTGCATGGTGCTAGGGATGGAGCCCAGTGTCATTCATGCTAGTGTCCCATACATGCAGTGCCCCACACATGCTAGGCAAGGGCTCTACCACTGAACTACTTTCCTTGCCCTGTATTCAACTTTTAAAATAAAGTTATTGCAGAAAGGGGGGAAAAGGGGCCTAGAGGACAAGTATTGGGGGGCTCCTGAACTATCTCCTTTGCAGTACAACCCTGCTTCCTGCCAGCTAACCTGCCAGCTAACTCAAGTATTAGTAGGTGATGAAAAACAAATTAATTTACTTTTTAAAAAAAGGATGGGGAAAACTGGCCAGAATACAGCACACATTTTCAGAAACTTGTTTTTTTAGTTGATACATAAATGACCACAACGGAAGATACATTTCTAAAGGTGAAAAGTCAAAAACATTTTAAGCCAGTTATAGGTGGCTCACACTTATAATCCTAGCTCCTCAGGAGGCTGAGTCCTGAGGATATGAGTTCCAAGCCAACCCTAGCAGGAAAGTCAGTGAGGCTCTTATTGCTAATTAACCAGCAAAAACCACAAGCAACTCCACAAAACACTGAAGTGGTGGTGTGGCTCAAGTAGTAGAGCACCAAGCTTTGAGTAAAACAGCTAAAGAACAGTGCCCATGAGTTCAAACCCCAGTACAGGCTCACACACCAAGTTTTAAAATTAAAGCAACAACAACAACAAACCTCTGAACCAGATGAACACTTTTCTAATCATTTTCTCATCCTGTAAGAAAAACTACTCCGTGTTAGTTTTGCCCTGTTAAGTATATTTATTGCCTATTTAGAGAGATTCAGAATAAATTAGCCCACTACTGCGAGGGCCTTCTCCCACAGCTAGGCACGCTGCAAGTTCTGGGCTCCAGGGAGGAAAAAATAAAAATCTCCAAATTCCCCCTGCCATGGGCCAGATCTTGGACTCCTTCTCCACCTCTCAGCTGAGGGTGCCAGGCTTGAGAGCCCGTGGGTATATCCAGGGCTGGGCCACATGCCACTGTCTGACCTGACCCCTTGAGCAAAGGGCAGGGTGTGGTCTTGGGAGAGTAGTCCTAGCTATCACCTAGCTGCCATTGCCTCTCCTGCCATTCAGGAGCCCTGGGTACCTTGGCCACAGATGGGAGTGGGGATTCACTCAAGCCAGAGAAGCCACCAGAAGCTGGGGCAGGAAGGGTGTGGGGCCGTAGGGCGGGTTGCAGGGATCGCGGGGCCTGCACAGGATCGCGGGAACAGCGCAGGTGGCAGGTGGCGGGGACGTTTGCAGGGACCGCGAGGGGTTGGGAGGTGGGGGGCGGGTGTACGACGTGAGGTTGCGGGACGTTTGAGATCGCGAGGACGGTGCGGGGGTTGTGGGGCGGGGGAGGCGCTCGGGGACGGCGCGGGTCCGGCCCTCACCCGGGCGTTGCGGGCGGCGTCCTCCAGCAGCAGCACGCGGTGGTCCTGGTGGCGCGAGTCGGCCCCGCAGGGCCCGCACAGCAGCTCCTTGTCCTCCTGGCAGTAGAGCGAGAACTCGGCGCGGTGCTGGCGGCAGCGGCGCGTCGGGCGGCGGCCGGGCCCGCACGCGCCCTCGGCCTGCAGCACCTTGGCCACCAGGTTGTTGAGGGTGTGGTTGGTGCGCAGCGCCGAGGGCGACGCGGGGTCTTTGCACACCGGGCAGGCGGGCTCCAGCTGCTCCAGCCAGCAGCGGCTCACGCACTCGCGGCAGAAGTTGTGGCCGCAGTTCAGGGTCACCGCGTCCCGGAAAGGGTCGTAGCACACCGCGCACTGCAGCTCCTCCTTGAGGGAGGCCGCGGGGAAAGGCCCCGGGGTCTCCGCGGAGTCTGGCTCCATCATCCCAGGAGCCCCGCGGGTCTCCGAGAGTGGACGCGCGTGCCACTCCCACCTTCAGGCGACGCTCGACTGTCTAAGCCCCAAGTGTCCAGAACGTTCCCACTCAGATTGCTGAGCGAAGGCAGCGCGGACCAATCGCGAGGCCCGCTTCCGCCGCGAGCGACGAATCCCGGAAGAGCGGGGCGGGCCTTTGAGCCTTAGTCTCCGCCTACCCCGGTTTTCCCGCCAAGGGCCTTCCAACGGTCGTCGTCGAGCGGCCTGGGTTCCGTGGGGAAGCCTGGGGATGGGGCCTACAAGCTGTTTCCCGACCTGGCCCGGGGTCGAGGGGAAGCCCCGGCCCGGGAGGTGGGACGCGCTGCGCCTCTTAGTCCCATCAGACCTGCCTGCCTTCCCCTCGCGCCTGGTTTACTGATTTGGGCTGCTTTTGGGGGTCGGGGCGACAAGGAAACCAGTCAGGAAGCGGGTGGTGGGGAGCCCCAGAGGAAAGAGGGTTAAATCACAGGCGCCCGCCCGCAACATGGCTGTCGGGCCTGTGTCCCGTGAGCTGAGAGGGTTGGAGTGAACTCAGAGGACAGTGCTCATGGCTTCGGCCATGGCGCGGGCCTGCGGCTCAGGCCCACCACTCACCAGGCACAGGGCAGGGAGGACAAGGCCTAGACCCTGGGCAGACTTTACTTATTCTTATTTAAGTGGAAACGAGTTTATTATAGGGCGAAGGGGGAGGGGACACATCTCCCTTTCCCCGTACAGGAAATGGGAGCTGAAAGAGCCTTTGCAGCCCTTGAAAGAATGTTCTCCAGAAAGGGATGAAGATGGGCCCTTCTTGTCTTCAGTGTCTCTGGATAGGCTCCCTAGCCCTCCTGCGGTCACTGGGGAGACTTAGGGACCAACGTTTCCTTCCACAGGTTTGCAGAGGGATGCTCAAGTACATTTGAGAACCATTGCCCTACACCTACTCACCCCACAAGTTGTCAAATCTCCAACATTGGCTAGCGGTTTCCAAAATTAATCTTCTAAGCAGTTAGTGAAAGAGCCACAAGATGGAGCCCACGTACTCTAGGAACTTCCCTGGGAAAATCTTGTTTCCTGTTCTTTGCCTGTGTTCTCATCTGTGACTAAGATTCTTACTTTCTAGGCTTCTGCCTGTGGCTTTCCAGATTGAAAACTGAGTGTGGAAACCCCACGCATCGTATCCTGATAGGAACCAGTATGTATATATGACCCTGGTAAGTCTTATTTCTTGAGCAAGGCTCCAAAAGACTTCCTCACCAGACTGGGTGACCCACTCTGCCCATGAAAGTAAGGCTGTCACGACTGAATTGAACCAATCAGAACTGACCTGAATCACGTGGCAGGGGAGGGAGGTCATTCAGACAATTTGAGGCTTTGCGCTTTGCTATGGAAGAAGGGAAATTCATCATTAGGCAGGCAGTTACAGTTCAGAACAACGCAGAACTTTCCATTTCTACCCTTGCTTCCCATTAAAATTGTCTTAAGTTGTGAGAATAAATGAGGTGATCAGTACGATTAAAGTACTGTATATTCATGTGTCAAATACTGTGGTAAAAAACCCTTTTGGACAATCAATATACACAAAAGCTAATGACAAGAATATAAAACAGAGGTGTGGGTACTAGTGGGAAGGGGAATGGGAATGAGAGGAATAAAGGTGGGCGAATATGGTCAAAGTACTTTATGTACATGTGTGAAAATGGAATGATTAGGCTTGGTGGGCTAGTTTGGGATGAGAAATGAGAGTGATGGAATGGGGGCATTTGATCAAGGTATGCATAGGTATGCGGGGGGCCATATGGACTTGTTAAAGTGAAATTCCTTCATGCAATTAATGCTAATAAACACGTTCTTAAATTTTTTAATTTAAATTGTAATATAAAAGTTATCATCCTATACATTTTAAGTGTACAGTTCATTGAGTTTTTTTCAGAGTTTTTTTCTCATTGCTATGTACCAGTCTCCAGAATTTCTCTTCACATAAAACATTTTATCTTTACCAGTTTTTATGCCAGCCCTCTATAGTATTTGGTTACTGCATCTTCGTACATTTTGAAATCTGGAAGTGTAAAGCCCCCAACTGTGTTCTTTTTAAAGATTATTTTGGCAACTTAGGGCCCCTTGAGATTCCACATGAATTTTAGGATTGATTTTTCTATTCATAAATAGTGCTGGGATTTTGATAGATACACATTAAATCTGTATTTAGATTGTTTTGGGCAATGTCAGTCTTATAGTGTAAATCTCTTAGTCTTTGAAGCTGTCTTTCCATTGATTTATGTCTCCTATGATTTCTTTCCGTGACATTTTGTGGCTTTCAGTGAGCAAGTATTTTACTGCCTAAGTATTTTACTCCTAAGTATTTTGTTCTTTGTGATACTACTACAGATGAATTTTGTTCACATGATTTTTTTCAGAGAGTTCTTTGTTTCCTTTTGCTTACTGTGTATTAAGAACATAGGCTTAAATTGAAGGTGCATTAGGATGTTAAGGAAAAAAAAAAAGAATGTCTTTTTTCTCTTCTGGCTCTCATACACCACTCGGTAGCCATTTCAGATGCAGGAAACTTTCCAGCAACAGACAGCACTCTGTCGGCTGGCCTGTAATTCAATTTGGACTGGGCTGAAAATATTTTGAACCTGCTTTCTGGGGACAGCTCTCATTCTGAGTTCATTTAGAGGTCTCCAGCCACTATAATCACATTGGTGTGCAAAAGGTAGTTCTCACACTGGAGATTCCCAAGGTTTGGGGGAACCAGGAACCCCAGGCAGTGGCCAAATACACATTTCTCCTTGTATTTTTTGTTGTTGTTTTGTTTTCTTTTGTTTTTGCTGTGTATTCTAGGCTGGCCTCAAACTCATGATGATCTGTATGATTTTGTTTGTTCATTTAAGACTCACTATTCTCCTTCTTCAGCTTTCCAAGTGTTTGGGTGTATGTGTGTGTGTGTGTGTGTGTGTGTGTGTGTGTGTCCCAATTTCTTAATATATCACAGTATCACAGTGCAGGTTAAGATGTGGTAACAGAAAGTCTCCAAATGCAGTAACATGAACAACTTAAATGTTCCTTGGTCTTTTAAACATTCACTTAGATCCAGACCATGTCCAGGCTGTGCGTGGTGCTGGGTGGCACTGAGCGTTCAGACTTTATCGCTCATGTATTTTGTCTGCTTTCAGCAAGAGCTGAGACCAAGATGGCCATTCCAGTCCCATCATCAGGCAGAGGTAGACAATGTGGCCCTTCCCTTAAAAATCATGTTCCTGAGGCTGCCTGTGTAGCTCCCTCTTGCTCCGGACAATCGAGACCATTCTTGTAGTTTCAAATGCCAGCTGCAAAGTTTATCACTGCTCAGGCAACTTTCTGGAGCTCCAGTTACAATGACCCCCAGTCATAGAGGTGGAGGATCTTTCACAAACACCCAGACAGGAAACAAAGATAATCTGAGCCAGATTGGGGATGATGGAAATGGGGGGAGGACTAGGGAGAAAATGCTGCATAAGAAAGATTCTTGGTTCCAGGTGCTGGTGGTTATGCCAGTGATTCTAGCTACTCAGCTGAGATCTGGAAGATTGTGGTTCAAAATCAGCCTGGACAGAAAAGTCTACAAGATTCCATCTTCAATTAACCAGCAAAAAGTTGGGTTAGAGATATAGACCAAGTGGTAGGGCACCAGCTTTGGGCGAGACAGAGAAGTCTTGTGAGGTCTTGGGTTCAAACCCCAATACCATTTTATAAAATAGGAAAAGTGCTTGAAGCAGGGTTTGTAGCTTAATGGTAGCATAAGGTCCCATGTCCCAGCGTTTGAGCTTCAACACCATGCAGACACAAAAATAAATGCTTGGAAAGATTCCTAGAGTGTAGATTTCATAGCTATGGGGAATGAAGGAGTCACTGGTGACTCCCAAGGCTAAACATGGTGCCCGGGATAAGTCTCTGGGAAGACTGGTCTCTTGGGTGAACAGTGAATACACGGCTGCAGACGGGGGGGGGGGACGGGGGGTGCGGGGGGAGTGCGGGGGGAGGCACCTGGGTGAGAAGGCCAAGGCCTAGCAGCTAGAGAAGCCATTCCTTCCAGTGGCTTTCCCCTGGCAGCACAGCACGCGCCTGTCCCCCCGCCAGGGCCTCCCTCCACGGAAGCAGATGCAGCCTGAAGGGGAACGGTTTGCTTCTCCACTGGGAGTAGGTGGTTTCCACACCCCGGAGTTCTCGGGACAGGTGCTGGGACCGTGTGCGCCTCTCTCCGCCGTCGCGCGGGGGCTCTCCAGAGCCCTGGGGTTGGAAGTACGGTTCCCACCACAGGGTCCAGGTTTTACCGCGGCTCGCGGGGGGCCCAAGGACTGAGCGGCCGGGTCTCCGCGCTCCGCGGCGGTCGCTCGCAG